GAGGGGTCACAGGAGTTTGAGGATATTGAAAGTGACACCTCTGAGTTGTCTTTTACAAGGGCGCTCACCGTATACCCAGCTCTCACAGTTCTGCAAGAAGTAGCAGTACTCAGGTTATGCGTTAGAGAACTGTGTTTGTCTACCTCTTCTGGGTAAAAATTTTAATCTTATTCATTGCACTTTTCAATTAACAAAACAATTGAATCTATAAATTTCAATTGTTTTATAGTAGTAATGCATGAAGCTCGTACAGTAAAATCTAAAGAATTTGGTTGTTTGATTTGAAAAAAGTGATAAGTTTAGATATTTCAAGATACATCAATAGCATTCTTTTACTAAAATCCCTGTTTCTGCTTATTTTAAGTTAAAAGTTTTGATAAGCATTATTCAGGATAGCATACTGTAGAACTCCAATCTTTTATAAATATTAATCAAAATAAAATAACTTTCAAGCTTAAATGCTCTAAATTCAACAAGCTGTTAGCAATTATAAATAAAATTTACCAAGAATAACAATTTGTTTTGTAATTTTAAAAAAATGTGTCAATATAAAAGTAATTTATACAGCACACCAACAAAGCCTTTAGTACATAAAACTCAATCTTACATTAGTAAATACACTAATATGTCAAAATACAAAGTTATGATTATATTTACAAGGTGAACTAATACAAAACTTACATTTTGGGCTATATGCTAAAGATTGTGGATTTCACATCCAACTAATAATGACTTAACATATACACTTCTCTATCCAATTTGTTTTAGGATGAAAACTATAACTACAGTAAACCAGCGTGACTTCATAATTACAGTTGTTCAGAATAATTTTGAACCCAGGTATATATGTCAATCAGAAGCTTTGCAAAGTAATATATGTCAAAGTTCCTCAGAAGTATTTACTTCTATATATCAACAAGCTTTTTCTACAAAAACTAGATTAGATGGTCTCTTAGTTATAGGTTATAATGATTCAGAGATATGTAAAATATTACTTTCTGATATTTATTTTCATCCTTATACTTTTAAAATTGGAAACTTAAATATAATTATTTTCGAAATTGGTAAATCGAACAACCCCAATTAGAATTATGCTGAAAAAGAATACCGAAGCTCTTTTGTGCATAACTTTTGCAAAACTCGAACAATATTCTATCACCATTCAACTATGTGGCACTCCCTGGCAATTCTACCTCAATACCTATCCATATCCTCAATAATATTATCGAAGATGCAAACTGCAATTCAAACCAATTATG